TCCCTCCTCTGCAGTGCGGAGGACTGCGTCCACGGGGCGAGCCAGCCCCCACCTCCTCCTCTGCATGCAACAACTGCCGCTCCCACGGGCGGACACGCGCCAGCCCCACTCCTCCTCTGCAGTGGGAGGACTCCCGGTCCACGGGGCGGAGGCCAGCCCCTCTCCTCCTCTGCAGCGGGAGGACTGCCGGTCCACGGGGCGGAGGCCAGCCCCTCTCCTCCTCTGCAGCGGGAGGACTGCCGGTCCATGGGGCGGAGGCCAGCCCCACTCCTCCTCTGCAGCGGGAGGACTGCTCGTCCATGGGGCGGAGGCCAGCCCCTCTCCTCCTCTGCAGCGGGAGGACTGCCGGTCCACGGGGTGGAGGCCAGCCCCACTCCTCTTCTGCAGCGGGAGGACTGCCGGTCCACGGGGCGGAGGCCAGCCTGTGCTCTCACCAGCAGACACTGGGAATGTCTTGCTGAGTGAGCATGCCGTGTGGACGTGCCAGGAGCACAGGGACTGAAAAGATCTGTGGATTAATTAATTTATTGACGAAAACAAACTGGGAAAAACTGTCTCCAGATACGCTCTCCATGGCCGCACTCAGCCTGTGCTTGTGGAAGCAAAACTTCTCCAGAAACACTCTAGGGGCTAAGCATTTTCAAAGTTGGAGACGGGCCTCCCAGCCACCACCGGGCACCTGGGCGCCGGCAGCGCCCGCATCAGAGGCCTCAGGGCCCGGCTAGCCGAGCTGGGCTCCCCCAGCCGCCTCTCTGTAGTGACTGGTTTCATTGTTTGACTTCTGCTGATCTCTGACAAAACTGAGATTTTCTCCGCCCTAATATGTGAAATTGTCAAGAAGTGAGCTTCCAGCCGGGCGCGGTGGCTCACGCCTATAATCCCAGCACTCTGGGAGGCCGAGGCGGGAGGATTGCTCGATCAGGAGTTCAAAACCAGCCTGAGCAAGAGCGAGACCCCGTCTCTACTATAAATAGAAAGAAAGTAATTGGCCAGCTAACATATATAGAAAAAATTAGCCGGGCATGGTGGTGCATGCCTGAAGTCCCAGCTGCTGGGGAGGCTGAGGCAGCAGGATTGCTTGAGCCCAGGAGTTTGAGGTTGCTGTGAGCTAGGCTGACGCCACGGCACTCACTCTAGCCTGGGCAACAAAGTGAGTCTCTGTCTCAAAAAAACAAGTGAGCTTCCTACCTACCTATTAATATTAATTATTTTTTCTATTACCTTGCAGATACAATAATGTTTAGATTTATTTCATAACATAAACACGGTGATTAAAAATATTTTATCATGTTAAAGTCATTTTGCTTTAAACTGTCCTCAAGCCTCCCAGCAGGCCCGGGGAGCCTGACACACCAGGTTCCCATGGAAACCACAACCCTCTGAGGCACTTTCGCCTTTTGGGAAATTTCCATAAAATTCTTCAACTCTTCAATCAATAGACGTCTCCTGCCCGGAGCTGCAGGGAGGCTCCGACCGACCAGCAAGCAGCAGAGACCTGGCCGTTCAGGGACTCAGGCCTCTCGGCACAAAGTGCTCCGTCAGCAGCCTAGACCCTGCCCTGAGGTGGCCCCTCTGCCCCTGTCGGGCACAGCCAGGCCTGCACCTGCCCCTCAAAGGCAGCCAAGACCCACCACCAGGCCTGGAGACCCCCAACTGGCCCTCCCAGGCCAGCAGCAGAGCTTAGCGGGGTGCAGGGGGCCAGCACCTCCTCGGGTCACTGAGGGCCACATGCACAGCACCTACAGGTGTGGCTCGCTCCGTCCCACCTCTGCAGGACGCCCACTCACTGCTGTGACATGGCCATGGCCACAGGACCCTGAGACCTTGCAGCCTCTGGAGGTCACCCGGACAGGACACCGTTTGGGCCCAGCCCAGGGAGACCCCCCTGAGCCAGAGTCTCCCTCTGGCCTGTTTCAGACTCAATCCGAGCGGCCCGTGCACTGGGAAGGTCTAGCCACACACCCTAAGCCCTCAGCTCCGAGGCTGGGACCCCCCTTCAGTCTGCAGGACAGTTCTGGGGCTCCCAAAACCTGTGTTGGCCTCGGTTTCCCCTCAGTAAAAACGGGGCCATCTGACCCCCTGCAGGTGTGCAGTGAGACCGGCACACGGCGGGAACACAGGTGCGGCCCCCCTCCCACTCCTGGCTCGTGGGGAGTGACTGCCCGGCTCTCGCCCTGTGCACAAGACTGGAACAAGGCTGGCGCCCAACTCGGGCTCCAGAAAGACCCCCCATGGCGCTGGGACACCCCAGGGAGCTCCCCACGGGGACACATACGCCCAGTTTGGGGCCTGTTCTGTGGCTCACACCCCCTCTGTGGGGCTGGCAGAGGAGAGTCCACGCCTCGCCCCCCAACCCCAGCCAAGGGCGGATTCTCCACCCACTTCTGACTCGGGGAAGCCCGCTGTGTCCAGAAAAGGTTCTGGGGACCTTCACAGCGGAGTGGGAGATGGCCGTGGCCTCGCAGAGCCCACCAGCAAAGAAAGTCCCTTCTGAAGAGCAGAAGCCGCCCGTGGGCCTGGCCCAACACCCACCGAGCCCTGGGGGTGTAGGGCACAGCCTCCCTCTCCACCTTTGTCCCCAAGGGACACCCGGAGATGCTGGCACAACCGGACTTCTCAGAAGCCAGACTTTGGTGGCAACAGGCAGGAGGCAGGTGACCAGGAGGGGACTCGCTTCCAGCCGAGCACAGCAGCTGCAGAACCCCAGCCCCCACCGGCCACCCCAGGCCCAGCTCAGCTCCATCATCAGGACACGAATAAACAAACCAAATGATACCCATTGCACAACATGGGCCAGTCCAGGCGGGCCAGGCAGGGAACAAGGGGCACACCCTCGGGAAGTCTCAGTGGAGCTGGGTCCCAGGACCCAGAACGGGAGGATTCCACACCTGGGGTCTGCGGAGGGTGCTGAGAAGCGCTCCCTTCACAGAGGGCCTGCTGGGTGCCCTCAATGGTCTCTGTGTACCCTAGGGGCAGGCAGCTGTCCCCACTTTACAGATGGAAAAACTGAGGCTTACAGAGCTTCTGAGACCAGATCCAAGTGTCCAACTGAGAGTCAGTTCCAGAGCCCCTGCTCCCTCCTGCCCACCTCCAGAGAAAACCTAGTGGGGCTAGTGGGGCCGCCTCCCCTGAGTCCCAGCCGCCCTGCAGGAGCGGAGGAAGCCCTGTGCACACAGCAGAAGAGCCCAGCAGAGGCCTGAGCAGGCTGAGGCCAGGCAGCCCCCGATGCTGAGGGTCTCACCCAGAAGGGGCAGAGCTGCTCTGCAGAGAAGCCCGTCCTGGCTTGGGGATGCCCAGGTGGAGACGACACAACCCCCCACAAGCGCAGGGCTCCCCACGATCTGCTCAAGTGCTGATGCTGCAGCTGTCAGGAGGCAGGAGACAGGCAGGAGGGATGGAGGGGCTTGACCAACGCAGGCCCGGGCAGGAAGTGGCCACACAGAGGACTCTTGGCCCAGAGGGGAGCCCCAGAAAATACCGCCGGCCAGGGACGCCCACACCTAGCCCGCTGGACCCAAAGCAGAACCCAGCCTTGGTCAGCAGGAACATGGGTCGGATGCGGAGTGGGGCACTGACCGCTGGGCCCAGGGCCACCCTGGCAGGTGGCCGTAGGGGGTTGGGCTCTGTCCTGTTCACCTCCCAGGAGCCACCGCAGGCCAGGAGCTGGCTGACCAGGGCCAGTCCCACTGGGAGCCGCTCCTGGCCTCCTGCCAGGTGGGGACCAGGTGAGGCTGGCGCTCCCAGCACTGCCGCCCCAGGCCCAGCCCTTCCTTGGGAGTCTCAGGACTCGCAGGTGTGCTGACTGGGTGCAGGACTGGGGTGAGCCCAGGGGCCCTCCCAAGGCTGCGGGCTCCCCCAGGTCCCTCTCCTGCATCCCCCTTCTGGGACCTTCCCCCGGCCCAAAGCCCTGCCCCACCACATTGCACGGAGGGTCTGTCCAGCACACGCCCTCTCTGTCCAGTGGGCGCTCGCAGAGACCATTTCCCAGAATGCGCTCCGCACTCCCATCCCAAAATGCCTCTTTGACACAAAATGGCCGAGTCCCGGCTCGGCTGGGATGGGAGAGCACAGCCCTCGTGCTCGGGGGCTGTGCGCGCAAACCGCGCAGGCCGCACACGCACTCCCACACGCAGCGACTCGTGCAAATGCCACACGGAACACCCACGGGCTCACGCGTGCGGGTCGGGGCCGCCCCCGCCTCCCCGCGCCAGGAGGCGGCAGTGCGCGGAGCGCCAGGCCCGGGGAGGCAGCACAGCGTTTCTAGGTCCTTCTGGGTCGGGGCTGGCGCCGGGACAGCCGCAGCCCCTCCTCCTGCAGGGTCTCCGCTCCGCCAAGGAGGGGCCAGAGAGTGCACGGAGGCAGCTGCAGACATGGGTCAGAGCTGCGCTGGGGGGCGGGTGGGGGACAGTCAGGCCGGGCAGGGATGGGTGCGGGCACCCAGGGGTCAGCTGCCCTCGCCAGCGGCTGGGGTGGGGGAGGTAATGGTGGGACCCCTCCCCCACTTCGGCAACCCTGAAGCTCACCCCAGCCGGAGAGGGAGAGAGAGGCTTGGAGGATGGGGAGGGAGGCCAGCCCCTCCCCCGCCGCCCTCACTTGGGAGGTGCGGGTGCCCAGCGCGAGGGTCCTGGAGCCCAGACCCGGCGCAGGACCGCAGCGCCGCCCTCCCTCCCCGCCGGCCTTTGTTCGGCGCAGGGCCGCGGGGAGGGGCCTCTCACGCTGAGAAGGGGGCTGGGGTCCACCACTCCCCGTGCTGCGGGGGAGGGGCTGATGCAACCCAGCTGGGGCCTCCCCGGCCTCCCGAACGGCCCCTGACCCCAGAACTCCATCCTGCCCGGCCTTTCCAGAATCGCTCTCCGATCTCCGCCCTTCGCCTTAGCAGGGGACGCGGTCCGAACCCAGCCCCCGGACACCCGCGCAGGGGCCGCTCCGTCGCGGGCTGCGCGCCCGGCCGGGGTCGCGAGCGGGACCCGGGCCGCGCCCCACGCCCCCCGGCCACTCACACGTAGGCGTGGTAGATGAACGCCCAGCCGCGCGGCCGCTCCAGCACGTTGTAGAGGAAATTCTGCAGCTTGCGGTAGAAGGCGTTGCGTTTGGGGGGCTTCCCGGCGCCGGCGCCGCCTGCGCGCGGCTTGCTCAGGATGCTGCCGCGCTTGGGGGCCTCAGAGCCCGCGATGAGCAGCGCGCCGTCCCGCGTGGAGTCGGGCGCGCCGGGGTCCAGCCCCACGAAGCCCACCTTGAGCTTCTTCTCCCCGCTCGGGCCGGGGTACACGCCGCCGTTGCGCGACTTCTGCACCATGGTGCCGGCGGCGCCCAGTGGGCGCGGGCTCAGCGGGCGCGGCGCGCGGGGGGCGGCGCGGGCCCCAGCCCAGGCCCCCGGCCCGGGAGCCGCATGGCCGAGGCGGCGGTGGCGGTGGCTCCGCGCTCCTGCCGGGCCCCGGCCGCGCGCGGGGACGCTGCGGCCACCTAGCTCCGTGCGCCTCGGCGCCTGGCCCGGAGCCGCGCCGGCTCCGCCCGCTGCCTCGCCCCGCCCCGTGTTAACCCCTGCGACGCCAGGCGGGACGCAGCAGGGAGCAGGAGGGCAAGAGAGGGAGAACCCTCCGGTCTGAGCCACCGGGACAGACCCCTTCCTGCTCCCCTGACCACGTGCACATTGACCGGGAATCGGCCCGTGCTCACCTCTGAGCTGGGCAGGACCAAGCCAGCAGACTGCACTATGGCCCCTGCTCTCCCAGGGGTCCCGAAGGCCCCCTCCCCCGCGCCTGGCAGGGCTGGGTTCATCCTGGCTGCCGCGGAGTCGCTATCTCAGGAGAGGGGGAGGGGACCGGCCCTGGCCGAGCTCTCTGTTAGGGCTCAGCCCGCAGGGCCTCACACTCAGCCCCTTAAGTCGCGGTGTGCAGGGAGGGTCTACTGAGGCTTCCCAAGAGGTGGCCTGAGCCCCACCTGGAGGAGTCCTGGGAGGGGCGTTCACAGAGGCCATGAGGCCGGAAGGGGGTAAGTGCAGGCAGAGGGGAGGCCTGAGAGAATCACCCAGAAGGCACCAGAATGGGGGCCACATCAAGTTCAGGACAAAGAGGGTGTCCCTTGGGGAGAGGTTGGGCAGAGGTGCCCTCCCCTCTGCCAGGGAGCGATGGGTGTCCTGGGAGTCCCTCTGGAAGCTGCTGCGGGGAGGCCAGAGGGACCCGTCTTGAGCCCTGCAGGGCCCCGGAGCACTGCAGGCTGTCAGCGCCTCACCTGGACCGGTAGGAGCCTTCCCTGCACACCTGGGAGGGTGTGGGCGGCAGGTGCATCTCCTGACCACATCCAGCCCCTTCCACATTAACCTGGCACCACAGGTGGGTCTACTAAGAGAAAGGCCCTCTGTTGAGTAGCTGGCATTGTCCTCACAGGTCACTCATGGAACGCACTGACTGGCCGGGCGCGGTGGCTCACCCCTGTAATCCCAGCACTCTGGGAGGCCAAGGCGGGAGGATCGCTTGAGTCCTGGAGTTCAAGACCAGCCTGAGCAACATAGCGAGACCCTGTCTCTACACAAAATAAAAAATTTAATTAGCCGGGCGTGGTGGCGCATGCCTGTAGTCCCAGCTACTCGGGAGGCTGAGGCAGGAGGGTCACTGGAGCCCAGGAGTTTGAGGTTGTTGTGAGCTAGGCTGACGCCACAGCACTCTAGCCTGGGTGACAGAGCGAGAACTTGTCACCAAATAAACAGTGCTAACCCTGTCACAGGGTCAGCCCTTCTTTACAGAGCTAGTGGCCATGGGGTTTGTTGTTGTTGTCTTTTTAATTAGACTGAAAGCATGGGGGTCGATGCAGGCAGCTACTTTGTAAATTATCTAGAATGTTGGGGACGGATTGCAGCTCACACAAGCATGTGCACATGTGACACACACACGGGACATCCCTGGGCACATGCCTGATCCTCCACCTCCCTGCTTCCATGCCAGCACATTGGCTGTCATTGGCTGTAATGACCAGCGTTAAGTGGGCTTGTCCCCCACACAGCTGCAGTTTCTACCAATTTCATGGCCCCCAGCCTCCCGAGCCAACCCCAGGCCTGGGTCAAGGGAGGTGGCACTGCGCCAGCCTTCAGGGGTGGCGGGAGACCTCCTGGTGCAAAAGGAAGGAGGCACTGCCTGCATCCTGCACCGCTGGCAATTTCTTCCTCCTCGGCCTCTGGGCAATGACCCTCCTTCACACTCGCCAGACACAGGACAAAGCAACCACAGCTCAAACGTGTAACCTCCGGAAGGGCTGAGCTAGCTCGATCTGTCATGGGGAAGCCCCAGATGACCAGGCACCACCTGGGCAGTTCCTGAGCTGGGCATGGTCCCTCCTGGGAAACAGGCGTCCCGGGTTTGGTTATCAGAGCAAAGCGGGGCCCGTGGTGAGGGCTGGCTCACAGAGAATGAGGGGAAAGAGATTCCTGGGTTTCACTGCAGCAGATGCACCAGCCCAGAGACAGGAGCAGGGTCTGGGGCTCCCGCGTGTTCCAGGACACCGGGGAGAGACAAACACACTTATTTTTCAGAAAAAAGGAGAATGCACCCCTGAGGTCTGGGGGAGCCAGGTCTCCTGGGGCAGCTGTGAAGGGCCACAGCCGGGCCCAGGGGCCAGCTCCAGACGCAGGCAGACCGCCACTCTCGCCTGCCCATGGCGTCTGCGCCAGCAGCTGTGCCCCCTCCCTGAAGGTTCTGGAAGGTGAATCCTGCATCAAGGTTCGAAAATCTTCACTTCCTTTGTTTAGGATGTCCTTTCAAAGAGCTGGCTCATTAATCATTTATGCTTTTAATTCTGCGTCTTGCGCACCCATGGGCTGTACGCTGTCAGCAACCTGGGCACCCACGTGCTGCCCCACCCCACCCGCACCAGGTGAAGCGTGCAGGGTCGTGAAGATGCCTGGTTAGGGTGAATCTCGTGCAAGCAGCAGGAATTCCATTTATTTAAAAATAGAAGGGAAAAGCTTTCAGGCTCAATCTTTGCCAAGACCGCATCGACAGGATTCCAGGGAGGATGAGTGGAAAAATTCAGCCGCACACGACGCCCGGCTCCAGCTGGGGGGACAGCTTTCGCCCCCCTGGGCATCCACGGCCACTGTCCTTTCAGCACAGTCTCTCCCTGGGAAGCTCCCAAGCCCAGCCGACTTCCTTCTTCTCCTCTGCTGGGGCATGTGACCTCCTGGCTATACCAGCAGGGGACCAGCCAGATCGCCCGCTGCACCAAGCAGCCGCAGAAATGAACTATTGAACCGACAGAACTGGTGGTCGCAGCCAGAGAGCTCAGCGCTGAGCCATCACAAATCCCCATCAGCCCCAAAGTCCTCCCGTGCGTCCTGCCCCATCAAGAAGCTCGAGTGAGGGGCTGTGATTTCCTGCTCCCAGGTGCCCCGGACCATGCCCACAGGTAGGGCCCACGGTCAGTGGCTGCCTTGGCGCAGCTCGGGGACCACACTCAGTACCGCCTGCATCGCGCTTCTCTGCTCTCGCTCAGGTGGGGGTGCCACCCTGCTGGGCCACCACCCTGGTCTCGCAGATCAGCGCTGGAACCCTGGGACACACACACAGGGACCTGAGTCGCAATGCCGCACAGGCTGCCCTTGGCTGAGAACCACCGTGAGCCATGTGAGCCATGCAGGGCGTATCCACAGTGCAGGTAGAGGCAGCTGCTGGAGCCCATGATGGCACCACCCCAGTGTGTGCTGTGTTGACACTGAGCCACCACGCAGATGCTACCTGTGTCCAGGTGTGCAGCCACACCTGAGTTCCTCCGCCTGTGGCCTCTGTAGACAGCGGCATGCTGGGCACTGAGAAGCCAAGCTTCCTGTCTCATCCCTCCCTGTCTGCCCCAGGAGGAAAGGAGGGAGCTCCTCCCACTCCCTCCCCTGCAGGGAAACAGATGACCCAGAGGCGAGAGCTCCACCAGCCAAGAAATGAGACTTAATTTGGGGAAATGAGAAGAGACGGGTTCTCAATCACTTAACCCGGCTCAGAGCTCCTGCTGTTTTAATCTTGCAGTTTGGACAATAGGCAGTACCCACCAGAAAAATAGAGCCGAGAATAAAGATGTATTAAAATAGTAAAAATTAAAAAAAAAAAAGTAGGTACCCACCAGACAGACAGGGCCAGCACGCTCTCCCCCTCCAGAATTTTCCGTTATTAGGGGAAGGAAAGCTGTGTCCGTCCAGCTGCAGGGGAGCAGGGACATGCGGAAAAGATTTGAGATTATGAAAGCATTGATTTTTTTTTTTAACATCTTACACCGAAGTCAATAAAAATTTAATTTATAGTTTTTTTTAAAGGACCCGAGCTCTCAACAAGCTTCCCTGGCCCCAGGCAAGCCAGATAATTGCATGAGGGTGTTGACTTGCATTTCTCAACCACCCAGACACCTGGACTCCTCCCGTGGTCCGTGGTCGTCCGTGATGGTGAAGGTGGCCGTGGCAGCGTCCGGAAAGGGGCTGCCAGGGGCTGCCGTCGGGCCGAGGGTTTGCACGTGGCCTCCCCCACGCCCCTCCTGCGCCTTCGGGCAAAGGAAGAAGCTGTGACCAGCGTCCTGCTCTGCGGCAGGTAAATCGTGGGGAGCGGAGGCCCCCGGCGCTCTTGGGGTGCGCTCGCGCCAGCCGGGTGGCTACACAGCTACTTTCTTCACCGCGTCCTGCCCGGCCACTCGCTCCACGCTGCGCCACGCCCCTCTGCCCCGACCCAGGAAGACGACCACCTGGGTGCCACTCAGGTGGGGGAAGCAGCCCTGGTGGGTGCTGTTCCCTCTGCTGGTGTCGGGGACACCCTGCGTCTTCTCAGGCGGGCCCTGCCCGGCCGCTTCCTGGGGCTGGACTGTCCCCAACACCCTCTCTGGGCTCTGGTCCCTACTACTCCCTTCCCCGCTGCCCGGTGCGCCCAGCTCGGGGCCCAGGTGCCACCGCAGCCCCCAGCCCAGCCCAGGGCAGGTGCTCGTCCACTCCGTCACTGTCACTTGGGCCTAGTGCTGGACTCACCAGGGCCTCCCGTCGGCGGCCCCGCCTGGCCAGGGCTGCGTGCTCAGGCTGCCGGGAGGGTGTGGGCGGCAGAGTGCGGCGCGGCAGCGATATCCTGCCCGAGCACAGGCCGTGGCGTCTGCCCTGGCTGCCCGCCCACCGCCAGCCCTGCTCCTCTGAGTGCCTGGCTCGGACAGACGTCCAGGAGGCTTTGAACAGGGTGTCCGGCCGGGGGCAGGGCCCGTGGGCTGTCAGGGTCTCCACCTCCACCTGCCCTCCCCAGGACAAGGTCTCCAGACGCTTCTCTGGCCAGCAAGCCCGGGACACGTCAGCCTGGGCCAGTACCAGGGCTCTGCAGTGGCCCCGAAGAGCCACCCTCGCCAGCAGACGCCAGCACGGCCGGGGCGGGGGGCTGCGGCTCATTCTCCTGCCAGGGCAGGGGGCTGCAACTCATGCTCCTGCCGGGGCGGGGGGCAACCTGGTGCCGGACACCCCGAGAGGGACACCCCGAGAGGCACACGGGGCTCACCTGAGCCT